GTGGAAATATACATTTTTTGTCTTGTGTGAATCGATGAACAGCGATGTCGATGAGCACATTGGGCAATTACGGAAGATAGAATCGGCAGTGAGACGCAGCGATCATGAGTCGTGTTTGCGAGGTTGTATCTCAACTGAGATGGGAATTTACGGCGGTACGTTGTGGTTCCCAAATTGTACCGATGCTGGAATGTATTACTACCGATTTGAGGTGTATATGTCTGTTCTATAGCTGGTAGCGAAGGCTTCACGCGATTTTGTGTCGCTGTCTTTTGTGCAAATGCCGTTATAGACTGGCAACTATAAGCTTACAGTTGAAAAATCGGGTTCTGAAGTACTTATGAATGATCCATCCTTGACACTATTTGACGGTACTGCTAGGTCAAATATAGCGTGGGCCCGCCGAGTGACACAGTAATACTTCTCAAAACTGTGATGATAACGTTTATCAACTTGTGATTGGAGTGACTAGGGCCCGTACGCGTTATTAGTCTCACCTCGTTACCGCAGGCTAATAAACCATTGAGCGCAACGAATAGCAATACGGAAATAGTAAGATTGATAATTTGGGAGATTGGGTTCGATGTGTGGGCAACTCTTTTACTGCAGACTTGAGGACCAATAAATGTGAGTAGTGCGAGACCTATCATCTAAGTTTTTTATCCCTTGTATCAGGAATATAACGCGTGATTAAAAGTGTAACGGGGTTACACGAACCCTAATAACAGGGGTGTGTGCATGTAACACGAGATGTGCATAATGTGACAACACACCCAACAAGAGTACGGTACGGGGAGGTAGCCAGTAGTCATACATGTATTCAGATTTTACTATATATATTTTGTATATCTAAACGTTTAACATTAGGTCAAAAACATAAAGAATCGGTTTTAAAAGAAGTGTTCGTTTGCCTTGGTTAAGACTTTTAAGTACTTTTAGAGGCAGCAGGTTGCGATCCGCTGCACTAGTACTTATAGAACGAAAGGTCGGTGACCTAAAGACGCGTCCTCAAGCGCGAAGCTACAGCAGCCCCGCTGCACTTGGTAGCACTTGTAGTCAATCTACACCTGAGTCGTTTCGACTGATCCTCTGTCAGGATGCAGGAATTTGCCTCTTTGCTTCAGGGAATGCAGGACGGGCTTAACATGCTGATGTCCTTGCCTGGCCCTGAGGGCGAGCAACGCCTTGTAGCACAAGGTCCCAAGGCAATCCGTGCGCGTCTAGAGGCGTTTTCGAATTACAAAAAACGCGCTGCTAGAGCACCTGCAGCAGAAGATGTTTGCATCGTTTGCGTCTATGACGCCACCGTCGGTGACGGATGACTTCCCCCGA